TTCTTCAATATGTTGAACATTTAGCTGCTTACGTGCCACCTGCTCTAGTGCCTATAATTTTTCTGATGTTAAAGGCCATTGTTCCATCCAGACAGGTTTGTCAGTTAACCATTTTAAAGATAGGTCTGTTGGTACCTTTGAAAGGTCAACATCTATTGCACCCCGCTTAGGTACAACCTGAACAATCAGTGACTGTTCTTGAGTATACCTTTTAGTATTTCTCTCAGAAGCATTCTTTATTTTATGATTTATTTCTGAGATTAGAGGAATGTTAATCCGTGTTTTCCATTACGGTAACAAATCACGTCCCTGTAAGTTCATTTCCATGTTAGAAACATGTAGCTTCACATTCTCTACCTATCCTTCTGGCCCTAAACTTTCAAACTACCTTATACTTTGTTTTACTTGAAATAAAGTTCCAATCATGAGAAGCTGAAGAGGCCAATCTGGATGCCAAAATTTTGGTGAAATTATTGTTACATCTACACCTATATCTAATAAACCTTCTATTACAATGCCATTTATTCATATTTTTAGCTTTGGTCTTTGGTCATTTATAGAAGTTGTTTTATGGTCTCTCCTGAAAATTTTATCAACCGAAGCTCTTCTGTCATTCAGAGGAGCAGTATGGTTTTTTAACAACAGGCATTAAATCTTTTAATTGCTCTGTGGAGGAGTTTCCCCAATGATGACAAGGAATGATTGAACCAAATTTGACACTGGGGCCTAAGAGAAGTCCCCTAAGGCATTTCCCATTGGCAATGGATTCCCTTGCTTGTCCCATGTTGATCTGCATTCATTAGTTCAATGCTGGCCTTTGCCACACCTTCTGCATATTCCAAAAGCCTGGGGCCTTCTGTTTGGATTATCTCTAGAAACAATATTATTCCTAGGAGTGTCTTGCCTACAATCCCTTCAGATGACCTTATTTACCACAACTAAAACATCTGACCTTTTGATTTTTCTTAAAATTTTTAGAAATCACTTCTCCTATCCAAGTATCATCATAAGTGTAAGATCCAATATCAGCTGTATTTCAGATCCATTCATCTATGGGTGCTGATCTTGCCTTTAAAGGCCTAGTTACCCTTTTTCATCCTGAATTAGCATTTTCAAAAGACAAAGATTCAATTAATATTTGTCTAAAGTCAGGATCTGATAGCATTCTATTTACAGCTAAAGTCAATCTTTGTTAAAAATCAGTGAAGGCTTCTTTGGGGCCTTGTATAATTTTAGTAAATGACTCAGTCCTATTTACTGATTCTTCAACTCTGTCCCATACATTCAAAGCTGCTATATGACATAAAGCCAAGGTGTGATAATCAAATCTAAATTATCTTTGCAAATCAACATACTGGACTTCACAAAGAAACTGGTCTTGGGAAATTTCAATACCTCTAGCCCTACTCCATTTTTTTTTTACCCTAGCTTCCTCTCTCTACCATATTTTCTGTCATAAATAAGGACTGGCATCAAATATTGCTGTAGCTAAATCTTTCAAGTCTTTTAGAATAATTCTATTCCTAGTTGCCCATGAGTTTCACAAAGGGTGAATGCATTTCATATAACCATATGAAATGACTGCTTTCTTAAATCTCTTAAAAATCTAACATTTCTACAGGATCCCAGTTAACTTCTACATACCCTTTGGGTGCCTATCATCTGGTGGTAATTTTGTATGGTAACAGAACAATTTAAGTTGGTTTTCTAATAACTTGGGCTGTTCCTCTTCAGTTTCATAATTCAATGGTGCAGTGGGTTCTGCTCTAAATTCCTCTGTCTGTGTGGGAATATTTTCTTAGTTTCATTAGTAGGTCTTTCTTATGATTGTATATTATCAGTCAATTTTTCATATTTGAAACAGATATCAAATCACGTTTTTCAGGATAAAACATGAATTACCAAACTGATAATAATTATAACCAATATTATGTCAATCCCAGATAAGTTGATTATTCCTTCATTTAATATTTCATTTTCACACCATCCATTGGAGAGTCATATGAGTCCTAACTCCCTGCACCTGCTGTGATATTGTTTCCCATTCTTAATATGGGAAAGACTTTAAAGAACAAACAAAAACAAAAACAAAAAAACCCTACCCTAATCCCCTAATCCCCCCCCACACACACTTAAGAATTTCTAGGTATCTCACTAGCTCTGCCAACTTTTCAGGTTTTTTTTTTTTTTTTTTTTGTTTTTTGAGACAGGGTTTCTCTGTGTAGCTTTGCGCCTCTCCTGGAACTCACTTGGTAGCCTAGGCTGGCCTCAAACTCACAGAGATCCGCCTGGCTCTGCCTCCCGAGTGCTGGGATTAAAGGCGTGTGCCACCACCACCCAGCCAACTTTTCAGTTTTTCCACAGCTTCAACATTGGAGCTGTGCATGGGTAGTCAGCTGCAGTGATGATTCTTGAATCTTGGCTGTGTGGGCAGGGATGTAGGGTGCTACAGGGTACCCAGAGCCAGAGTAACATGTTGCAGCTGGTTGTCACTGTGCTGCACACCCTGGCTGAGGGTAACTGCAGCTGCTCATGTGCCATGCAGGGAAGAGGAGTGAGCCACCTGAAAAGTGGACTTGGGGAGATGGAGTAGAAGAAGTCTGTAAGGCTAGGACACAATGTGGGAGGGCACCAGCCAGCTGAATGACAGAGCTAGTGATAGGCTCTTGTCAACTAGTGACAGAGCTGACTCTGACTCGGGTGGCTACAGAGCTAGCAGGTGACTGTGACTGCAGATGTGGGGCCAGGGTGTGCAGCCCAAGGTTTGGCTGTTGCAGGTAGACTGCAACTGAAAACACACCTGGCGGGAAAAGCTGGTGACCTGTGGCAGCTCTGAGAAGTGGCAGCTTTAGAAGCCACCACGTGATCTTGCCACACATTGGACAACAGATCAATTGAATGCTTAGATTGTTCTATTATTAAATAAAACTCAGGCGTCAGATATTGGGGTTAAAACTTGATAGATCCAAACAGAGGAATGATGAGCTGACCCTGCCTCTCCATACTTCCAGATCAAAAAGGCCCAGGAATACTTCTAAGCCCCTCTCCATTCTTTCTTGTGTCTTTCTATCCCAATCTGGATGCTCCAAAAACTCTATGGTTAATTCTGGCCCACTGAATGTTGACTTTGCCCTATGATTCAAAGAGAATGAATTGCTTTATTTGAGGATAAGGGTAAAGAATATAGGTAATCCAATGTGTATCAGTATTTCCTTGACTTCGAAAGTAGGACACATTTATTCAACTGAACATCATATCATGGAACACCCCCATTTGTCTAAACTCTTAACTCTCTGGGTAAAAATTTCAATCCTTGCACAGTTGACATTTAGGAGTGATATATTCTTTAGTATGGATGGCTGAGTATCCAGAGTATTATAGAACATTTAGCAATGTCCTTGACTTATCTACAATATGACAATAACATCCTTCTGTCCCCAATAGCACCCCATCTCTCAAGTCTTGACAGGCAAAGTATTTCCAGATACTTCCAAAATCTCTGGGCACAAATCAATGAGGAATTTATCCATATTTAAAGACAAGTATTGTAGAGTATTTGAATCAATTCATATAATATTTAACCAAGTATTCCCACTTCACAAAGCACAGTTTTATTTGAATGGACTTAGAGACAGAAAATGTGTCAGCTACATTAGCATCCACCAGAGTACCAGTCCCTTCAGTTAGAAATCTGTGGAGACCCCTAGGGTTAGTTTCTCCAGCCACATTGTAAATATTGTATACAACCACAAATTGTCTGTTCCTGGGTGAAATGTGATGAAATATCAGCATTTACTTGTAGGTCCATGATGTATAGCTACAAAAAAATTATTTGAAAAATAAAAGGTATCTTTTGCTTAATTATATCCAAATGTCATTCTAACCATAATTTTAAATATGCTTGAACCTAACTGCCATTGTAATCTTGATTTGAAATGTATTTTACCCAAATGTCATTGTAACCTTGTTTTGAAGTACATTTCTTTCCTTTGCAAACAATGGTGACTTTGCAAAGCCTCTGTTTTCCAGTGAGGAGTAAAGATCTGGATGAGAGCTGAGTGGATTGGAATTATGTATTTTTAACAATTGAGTAAGGGCATTTTCAATTGAGGAGGTGTGCTTATTATCTAAGGGAGGTGAAACTTGAAGAAGTTTTAGTCAGTGATTTCTAAAGCTACTCAAAGAGGGGGTAAAAGGTAGAAAATCTAATTTTACAAACCATGTGGTGTTGTGTTACACTACATTTCTCATTGAAATGTTCATATGGCCTTGGTCAACAGGAGCAGAAGATCGGCATCTTACTTTGACAAAGTTCAGGGTTGGAAGAGAATCCGATGTAGAAATATCTTTTTAGAGGCTGTAGTCGTGATAGAGATGAGAGCATACTTTCCAACATATGTAAACAAATGTTAGAAATGTTGGGTACTTCCACCTCTGCCATTTTTAATGTAGTGAAATCTCTGCTCCACCTGTGACAGTGATAAACTTAAGACAACTGTTCACCGAAGAAAGGACAAAAAAAAATCCTGTCAGTTTTGTTCTTTTGTAAACTTCATATGAGAGCGTGAAGCAAATAATACCTCCTCTACCTCATGCCCTGTATCCTCCAGGGAAAGTGCTAATGAAAAATGGCATGGCTGGAAGTCTGGCAGCAGAAGAGAGCAGGAAGAGAAGCCAGGGGGTGGAGCAGTTGCTCAGGAGCTCTGGAATTAGCGTTGACCACACTGAGTTGGCAATATTATAGTTTATTGATATTGATGGCTATTGTTCTAAGAGCATACAGGGAACGCTTGGGATCTAATGTAGGTATGGTGTTCATCACAGGGACAAGGAAAAGCTGTCTGTGAATGCTCAGCGCATAAAACACTAATTCCTGTAGTGTCTAGGATTCTGCTTGTGGGAAATGCACGGGAGAGTTACCCTGTGCTCGACGTCAGTCCAACGTGAAGTTCAGTTCTGCACACTAATTTTAATTCATTATATATGCCTTTTCTTCCCAGCACAAATGGACCCCCGAGGCCTATCTCCCAGACAAAGTAAAAGTGACAGTGACGATGATGACCTGCCAAATGTGACCTTAGATAGCGTTAATGAAACTGGATCCACGGCCCTTTCCATAGCCAGAGCAGTCCAAGAGTAAGTACCACATTCTCAGGATGAACTGAGCATTGTGAGATGATCGAGGGATAATGGGAACTGAAGCCTCTCTGGTTCCTCAGGCATGTCATTTTAGCTCTGAACTGGCACATGTGACTGTTTCCGTCCATTTGGCCAGCATGCTTTGGGAGCAGGTTATGGTAAAGAATGGAATGTCTCAAAAGAGTGGGAGTTTTTGTTCTGTTAGATGTAAGAACTCTGTGCATCCTTGCAAACACCCCTTGCACCCTTCCTTTCTGAAAAAGAAATTGTTCTTTTTGAGTATTGGTATCCAATTATCACCACCAATACTCATCTACAAAGCAAAGGGCAACAGAATGTTTCAAGTATCCTTATTTTCATGTTTATCATGAATTTTTTTTTGTAATTTTTTTTTTAATTTTTAGTTTTAATTGTATGTGTGTATGCTCATGACAGCAGTACTTGTGGAGGCCAGAAGAGGTCATCAGATCCCCGGGAGGTGGAGTTAGAGGCAATTCTGTGTGAACAGCCTACCCTGGGTACTAGATACAGATACTTTCTAGGAGCAGTATGTGCTTTTAACCCATGGGCCATCTCTCCAGCCCCTCTTTTTCTTGCTTTGATAGGACACTACAGAACAGCTTTATGGAAGATTTAAATTTGGAGGATACTGTGTTAGTACTTTGAAAAATAAGAATCATAAACACCTTTCCAAGGGATTTTTTTCTCTATTTCTTTACTTTCACTCAGGCCACAGAATTAGAAATCGACCTTTGCTTGTAAAAAAAAAAAAAAAAAAAAAAAAAAAAAAAAAAAAAACTGCATTTGTATAGTTGTCAGCTCTGTCTAGAACATAACTTGTGCTAGTCCATGTGTATTTTTCTGCATATTACTTTTGACGTTGTTGAGATAGAACTGACAAGATTGTGTATATTTAAAATGTAAAATTTCTTGATGTTATAAGCTTCAGTACTGTGAAATGATTGACATAGTCAAGTTAATTAATGTACCCGTCATTTTACTCGGTACCTTTTTGTTGTTTCTGTTCAGAATCCTTAAGATTATTTGTTTTATTTTATGTGCATGGGTGCTTTGCCTGTATGAATGCATATATGAATGTATGTCCATACACCACATGCATGCCTGCTACCTGCAGAGGACAGAATCAACCTTTGATTCCTTAGAACTGGAGTTGTAGATGGTTGTGAGCCAACATATAGGTGTTTGGAATTGGACCCAGGTCCTCTGCAAGACCAGCAAGTTCTCTTTACTACTGAGCTATCTTTCCAGCCCCAGAGCTATTTCTTAGAAAATGTCAAATGTACAGGGCAGTGTTGTTAACTGTTGTCACTATGGGATATCATCAATTTTCTTTTTTTTTTTAACTTAAAAGTCTTTCTTCCCCACATCCAAGCTCTTGCAACCTACTATCCTGCCCTGTTTTTCTGTGTTCAAATTGTTTAACTCCACAAATTAGTGGTAATTCTTTGATATGCTTGGCTGATACAGTTCCAAGCTACAATATTTTGTATAAAAATGCAAGTCCTTGTCCTTGAAAATATTCTGAAAATCATGCATGCCTATTAAGGGAAGCTGGATTTATTATTCATGTTGGTGTTTTCATTAAAAGGTTACTAAAGCATACATTGAGCTTCCATCACCTAGAAAGCTGCAGAATACCTGGATCATCAATAATTAATACACCATCTTTAGTCTGAGTCTGTATGCAAGCATTTAAAAGTACTGAGATGCTTTTCAGTGAAACAACCAGGATGCCCCAAAACAGCCTCTTAAATATAGGGATATTTCCAAACTTCTAGTAATATATTTAAAAAATTCCACTGTAAGAATTCTACGTTCCATGTTAAGTTACAGAAAATTCTGTACACTGGTTCGCTTAGCATTAACTTGTAATGTTTTTATTCAGTTGTGAATCTGTCTTCTCGCTCTTGTTCCCTCTTGAGCGCCTGATACATGGAATTCTTTCACTGTTAACTTCTCTTTCACCTCTTTCTTCTGGCTTTTCCTCTGATGCCCAGTGATAATTCACACTACTAAAAATGCCAGTTTAGCATGGGAATAATGAGACGATTTTAAGGGATTCCTGAGGGTATCTCCATTTCCTGTCCTTGTAGACCTTTCCTGAGACTATTGGGTGGAGACGCACGCAGGGAGGAAGACGGTGAGATCAGAGTTTTCTGTAGAGCAGATGAGTGAGTTTTAAATCCCTGGGGAGAAAGTCTTTATGGTTTGTCTTTCCAGTTACAAGGCAGTGGAGTCCTGGTCTCCGGTGCATCCATAGGTGTTCCCATATCTTCTCTTGTTAGCTGCAATATAGAGTTGGCCATGAGAGCAGAAAGATTGGTAAGGGGGAGGAAATTCTGGAAGACTGACACTAGGATGTCAATGGCCGTGTTCTACATCAGACTTTTGTTGAAGAGCCCTAACACGAGGCTAGAGCACAGAGCAGATTTCTGCACCTGAAGCTCTCTGTCCCTGTCCTGCTTGGCTGTTTGTCCTGACACAAGCTAGACTTATCTTAGAAGAAGAAGCGCAAATGAGAAGATGCCTCCATCCAGTGGCCTGTGGGAAGGCTGTGGGTATATTTTCTTGATTGATGACTTGAATGCGAGGACCGGGCTCACTGGGGGAACTGCCACCCGTGGTCCACAGTGCTGTAAGAAAAAAGACCGAGAAAGCCATGGAGAGCAAGTCAGTAAGCAGCATTTCGCCATGGGCTCTGCTTCTGTTCCTGCCTCCAGGGCTCTGCCTTGAGTTTCCCTCACTCCTCTGGATGCTGGACTGTAAGCTGTAAGTGAAATAAACCCTATCCTTCTCCAGGTGCATTTGGCAATTGTCTTTGTCACAGAAATAGGAAGGAAACCGAGACAGTTTCTGCATTCATTTGGGTAGAGTGCTGCCTCGTGTGCTGTCATGTTCACACACACACACACACACACACACACACACACACACACACACACACACGCACATGCACACGCACACGCACACACACACAAAAAAAATTCTCATCTCAAAAAAGATAAGAGACAGTTTATTTTGTAGCCAAATATAGAAACCCTGGCCCAGGAATGGAGTCAGGTCACTCTAAGTTTTACTTAATAAACGTTTGATTAAATTTTTTAGTAACAGAATGAGCAAAGTCATGAATCGAGACACTTTCAAAAGGCATTGGTGGGTGCATCAGATAGACGGGTTAAAGCAAAGTGGGGAGACCTCAGCTACTGCCCTCCGATGGTATAGGGTGGTATTTTGGTTGATGGAAACATGGGCTCTGTTTCTACATTCCAAAGGATTTACCTAACGATCACAAAAATGTTAGCTTACATACAGGAGAGAGCAATACATGGCCATTAAGGGTGAGAGGGTAAAGTTTGGCTCAAAGTGACTTGGCTCTGGCTGGACTTACAGCATTCCACACTCTCCACAATCACTGAAGGTCTAATGAGTTAATCAGCCTCACAGTCAGTTAACTGTGAGGAGCAGTTCTTTCCAGGAATGTTTATTCACAGGTCAGATAAGCCTTAATATCCTATCAGTGCCCCCTCCCCAGTAGTATTCACTTTACTGATTTCTAAAGAGGATTTTTTAAATTAAATTTTGGGTTTAAAAAATAGTTTCTCTTGATTTTATATATAGAAGTTGTTGGCCAGTATGTATTTTCTCCCCAGAAATTCAGATGTGTCTTCAAATAAAAAAGAGTACCCCAAGGCCACCTCCATTTATATGGGATTTACTTAACAAGACCACTGATTGTAGCATGAAGCTTAAAGAGTCTTATTAACAAAATCAAACCTGAGGCCAGTTATTCGAGTGAATACTGGAAGATCAGAGAAGCAGAACAAGCCACAGCTTCCTCACCTCGCCAATTCCTCAGCTGATACTGTTTCCTCACACTGGAAGCCTCTGAGTTCTCATCCAGAATGAATCTCAGCTGAACTGTGCTGCTCAAAGCCTAAAAGCGTAACCAGCCAAATGCTTCTAGTTTCTGGTCTTCACGCCTTACATATCTTTCTGCCTTCTACCATCACTCCCTGGGATTAAAGGCTCACTTTCTGGGATTAAAGGTGTGAGTCACCATGCCTGGCTGTTTCCAATGTGGCCTTGAACTCACAGAAATCCAGAGGGATTTCTGCCTCTGCAATGCTAGGGTTAAAGGTGTGTGTGCCACCATTTTCTAGCCTCTGTATCTAGTGGCTGTTCTGTCTCTGACCCCAGATAAGTTTATTAGGGTGCACAATATTTTGGGGAACACAATACCACCACAACTGATCAGTATTCTTAAGAGGAACACCTCAACCATTCTCATGGACTAATCTGACCATCACCCCTTTACAGCTCGGTCAGTGAGTTTCACTAAGTTGCAAACAACAGGCAGGGAGCGATTCACAGATGGGCTCTTCCTTGTTTTAATCTTGTAGACACTGTGTCATGTTAACAGCCGTGTCTTCCATGATTCTGACAGAGACAAATTTCACAATTTGTAGAACATCTGTTTTGTCTAGGTCTCAACCCCCAGGCCCCTGCACAATGGTAAAATGGAGTCATTCCCCTTGACAGCTTGCAAACATAATTATGAAGTAAGTGTTTAGAGGAAGAAAGTGAAAAGCATACGATTAGAGGAAATTATTATAATTGACTCTAATTCTAGACAAAATACTGATGTTTTTGAAATAAGTGAACTTTCAAGTTTGAAGTTTGACTGTCCAGAACCTCTCATTTCTTCTCTTCTTTCTCTAAATTCTGAACATTCTTGGTCCTTTCAATGTACACAGAGTAAGTGTGTTCCGTAAGCTGAAGTGTGAGCGAGCAGCATGTGAGAGGCCCCTCCCTAGAGGAGTTCCTGTCCTACCTAGGATCAAGCTAATATGGCAGAATGTGGGAGAAGTCTATGTCAGAGTGAAGATGAGAAGGGAAGGGGACGCTTTGGAGGAAGGAGATGAAGATGTTTTACTAGCATCCCAACATCTGTTCCTGCTAAAATGAAACAGCTTTTA